AAAAGGGATAGTCGAAGTAAATGCCCATTTCTTCAAAACCCTCCTATTAATATTTCATTTTTAATGGCTGTCGATAATGAAAAGCTTTGATGGATGTCACTGATTAATGACTCGCAGTCTCTTAAAGACTGGGTAGTCATGAAGTGACTTTTTAAAGCCTTTTGGTACCATTGTAAAGCTTTTTGAAAATCTTTTTGGCATCCGATGCCAAAATGATAAAATTTACCCAGCATTAATTTATTAGGACCAGGACAAGAGGGGAAATTTTCGCATACTTCGCGTATCAAGTGGAAAGCTTCACAAAAGTTCGGGGCAGCAAAGTCGAGAGCAACATGGCCAAGTTCAATAGCAGACATAGCACTTTCGTAAAGTAATAACGCGTATTCCATTTTACCGCCCCAATAGTGATCACACTCACTTGACCGAAGAAACCACTTGAAAGCTTCAGCGTCATTTTTGGGAGTACCTATTCCAGCGGAATAACAATTTCCGGCAAATTTCATACCTTGCGGGTCACCTAACTCCGCAAGACGTAGGTAAAGATTATAGGCATGCTGACAATCAACAGGCGTGCCAATGCCACGACGAAGACAGTAAGCAAGGTTGAACATTGCGTCCAGATTTCTATATAAAGTAAAAATTAATAATAATAATAATAATAATACACTTGACCCTCGCTAATATCAACCCATTTGGATCACTTTTATATTCATGTTAATAGTGATATTAATAAGGGATCATATTAAAGTTGATAATATATATACACACATATATAAGGGAATTTTAATATATAGAAATTCAATTTATTGTTTAGGTTGATATTAACGAGGGTCAAGTATAATAATAATCATCATAATAATAATATATGCAAAAAAACGAATTAAGTTAAACATACCCGTTATGGACAGCGCGTTCATAATATTTAACAGCACGCGAAGGGTCTACTTCAACGCCAATGCCCATCTGAAAACAGATTCCTAATTGACATAAACTAGCAGCAATTGGAGGATCAGAATTGGCAGTTTCTAAATAGATTTCAACGGCTTTTTTTTCATCTCTAAGAAAATTATAAATAGGATTATAGACGAGAAATATAAATTTATAACATTTAATAATTTAATAATAGCTTGCACATACTTTTCCACACCAATACCATGTTGCAAGCAATAAGCAACTTGGTGTTTTGCACGCAGTGAACCTAAATTCGTGGCAATCACGAAATTTTTAAACGCTTGAAATGGATCACGAGGTTTTGCAAAATGGAGGAAGTATTGGCCCCGATCATAATAAATAGCAGGATTTGTTTCAATCGGAGGAGTCATCGGAAAAAAAGATTCATTACGAGGAGTAGTTGGCGTCGGCGGATAGCTACTATCATAAGGATTGGTAGTTGATACAAAATGAACTTTGGAGTCGATAGCATCTTTGGATGATCAATTGAATTAGAGAAATTATTTACACTTTTAATAAATTGAGTATTATAAAAATTAGTATAAAAAAAAAAAAAAAAAAAAAATTTAAAAAAAAAATTTGGTTAGCTCGTTCACGGAAACAATACCTTCTTGTGTGACAGCCATTGAATCATTAAGATTAGAACACTGACGTAATTTAATAAAGGACATTCCGAAAGAGTCAGAAATAAAAAAAAAATGAAATAAATAGATTCAATAAGAGCAACAAACGGTCAACAAAATACCTCAACTTTGAACCCGTTCAGCGGATAAATAGACGAAGAAAATTGTTGATTCGATATATTTATAGATAAAGGCAAATATAAGGACGCAGCGGCGCCTTGTTGCTGTATCAGTAATTGTTGTTGAGTGTTTTGAAACGGAATGCATGCATTAAGTTGTTTAACACCATTAGGTTTTGGGCTAGGTAACATAAAGCCTCCCGTGCAAGGATTCGAAGATATTATCGTGTCGGAATGAATCATCGATTGTAATTGAATAGGGGAAGTATTTACCGAGGGAAATATGGTGTAAACAGGAGAAGGTACATCATATTGGTTTTCCATTAGTGAAAGAATAAGAGTTGGTACGTCTGAAGTTTTTAATGCCGTTAAAAAAATGAAAAAAAAACTTAAAGAACGGTGAACAATTATTTTAAAAAAAAAAAAAAAACAATTCGAATCGATTCTGATTAGACGTGAATTTTTTTTTTTTTTTTTTAAACGTTAAATAGTCGGCCTATTTGCTATCACATATTTATATTTTTTTTGCACAATCTCAAGCATTTATGCTACCGAAAGACTGGTTAAAAACTCGTGGCACATTATCCACGTTATTCACAGGCAATTTTTCCCTTTATTTTATTTTATTTTATTTTTATGTATATATTTATTTATCTATTAATTAATTGATTTATTTATTTTGAGCCAAGTTATTTATTTTGCTGCCAAATTTTTTTTTTTTGCTAATATTTTTTTTTTTTTTTTTTTTTTTTTTTTGTGGTTTTTTTTTTTTTTTTTTTTTTTTTTTTTTTTTTTTTTTTTTTTTTTTTTTTTTTTTTTTTTTTTTTTTTTTTT